ACATTGAACTGACATTATACCTTTGTTGGAGTTGCTCTTACTTGAAGCCAGCATATTGTCAGCCTTTGGGTAAAATTAATCAATTGCCCTCTCACAATTTCTTCAAGAATGATGAAGAAAACACATGGGAATTTCATCGCAATTCAAAATTCAACTTTAACCAAATGTTGAATACCTACTGTATATTTACAAAAAGAAAGGTCACCAGCACCACACTAGACATGGTCACGGGTCGAACCGGCCCACTGAACCAGCCTGGCCCCCCGGCCCAGCCCGAACCGGACCCGGACCGGAAAAGCCGGTTTTCGAATCGGAACCGGACATCTAGAGGGCCGGTCCCGGGCCTCTTCGGTCAAAAAAAAAAAACCCGGCGGGCCGGGCCGGGTCCGATCCGGGTTCTGGGTTTTTGAGCCAACGAGGAAGGAGAAGAATATGTGGGGCCCGGCCCGGAACCGACTCGACCCGCCGGGTTTGCGACCCGACGATTAAGGGCCGGTTCAGTGAACCGGCCCTTAGTTACAAGCGGGCCGGGCCCGGTTCACTACACAGTGAACCGCCGACCCGGCGGGCCGGGTCGGGTTTCGACCCGGCGGGCCCCGACCCGGCCCGGCAAATGGACACGTCTACACCACACCCAACCTTCCCCATATCTCTCCATCCCTCACCTTTGGAGCAGTTGAAGAAAATCACCCAAACAACACATTATACAAACCGAAATAACAAGAAAACGTTGACACCGAATTCCAAAAATTCCCTTCTCAAAAGCGACATAACAGTAAAAACAATGTATCAAACCGAAAAAAAAAGCACACCATCAACACCTGTTAGCAATTGCTTCATCATCATCAATAAAAAATATAGACAACTATTAGAAGGTAATTTGTCAAGGAAAAAAGTTTGTGAGGCAAAATCTAAAAATGGGAGTACTTTGGGAGGTAAAGAAAAATTTTCCCTTTCATTTTTCAATTCAATTTGGTTTTAGAGTGCATACACTTAAAGCCACTTAGTTTGCGATTGACAAGTTAAAATCGGATTTGACTGAAAAATCAATTTAATTCAACTCAACTCTTTCAATATTATCAATATAATTAAATAATATCAATAAATCATTCTCACACATGACATAATTTTAATTCACTATTTATCAACTCACATATTTTTAACTATATATCATTTGCATTAATCAGTCTTATACTTTTACATTACTTCAACTTTAAGCTATAAATTTTTTAATATTATTTAACTACAAATTCAAAATCTAATCAATAACTTAGTTTAGCCAACAAATCCATTGAATACCGATTTTATCTTATATTTGTATTTTTATTTAAAATTAACCTACTTTAACCAATAAATCCAACTAAAAAACTATTTTTGTTATAATTAACTGTACTTGGCGAGGGTAGTACTAGGATGGGTGACCCAACTGTTTTGGTAACAGCCATTCGCTCCCTTAACTTCACTATTATAGATTCAAAATTAGAATCCAAAGGTAAAACCATTCAATTTCAAATCAATCCAAATCACTTCCATACAAAACCTTGTCTAGTGGTAGGGTAAGAGCATCTCTAATGGGCCTTCAATTGTAGAAATGTGAAAGAATTTCAATAAAAAAAATCTACAACCTCAAGGTCTAACTGCTAATGATAATGACGTGGTTGGAGAGAGAATGAATAAAATCTAACACTCTTTCTACATTTAAAACTCTTTGTAGACATGCTGAGTCAGATTATTCCTCCCACTAACTTTTTTTTTATTATTATTAAAATAGCAAATTTGTTAAGAAAAGAGACGTAACCGTTGGAGATATTTTATGGTATTGAACTCCAACTTATTCCACGTTGATGGAAGTTTTTTATTTAATTGCCACACAACCTCCAATTCATGCTCATGGTTGGAGATGCTCTAAAAGATGTGCAGCTGGTAAACAGTTAGGGCATCTCCACCAATCAACCAACATTATACGACCTTTTAATGTCACGACAACATACCACTATGGTGTTTGAATATTATTATTATTATTATTATTATTATTATTATTATTATTATTATTATTATTATTATTATTATTATTATTATTATTAGCATTTAACATTTATTTATATATAATGACTTGGTGGACAAGATAGGTTTTAGGGTTTGTGTCTTATTTAAAGACATTTCATCTTTGTTATTCGGTGGTGAATTGATAATAAGAATTGATTGAGTTTTGTGAGTTTTACGAGAGAGTATCTCGTTTATCTTTCCCACTCGTACACTTTCCTTACATCAATTGATATCAGAAGTCAGCACGATTCAAGATGCCGCCGCGGAAAGACGACATCGATGGGCGTGACGCCACCATTGAGTATCCGGGTCGACAAGCCACGGGCTTCGGTCGCCAGATCAATCAATTGGATTGTCGGGTTGAGGATCTTTCGACGGGGATCGAAGAAGTGCGTCTTACGATCAACAACGTGGTTGAGGATTTGCAGACGAACCGTGACGCGGACAACCGGGGCGTTCGCGGGGGAGTTCACGGAGGACGTGGAGGTCGTGGTCCAGGCGGGACGCCCCGCCGGAGATCTCCACAACCACCGTCCGGCGACGAAGACGACGAGGATACCATCTCGGAGGTGAATCCCTTCGGCGAGTGGCAACCTCCGCACGTCGAGGCTGACCCCTTCCCTGCATACGGCGGCTGTGACATGTGGCGACGGAGCTCGGTCTTCGTGAACGGCGACGATCAATGCAGCGATAGGGGCTGGCGCGAGGAGGCAGCCTTCGCTGGCGGATATCGTATCCGACACGATTGGGGACTTGATCGCGAATATGGTCAATGGGAGGGCCCATTTCGGGTTGACATCCCCGAATTCGATGAAGAGCAAGTTGACGGGCCATTGTACGATGGTCCGCGGGTGTTTGATGAAATACCCGAGGAGGTGAAGGAGCGTCTTACGTGTGAAGTGGACAGTCTCTACGACGATCCGTCGATTTTCGATAAGGAGCCTTTGGGCCCGGAGGAATTCAATCATGTTTCGGGTATCGAAATTCAACTGTTGGAAGAATTTGGTGTTCGATTGGTAGTTATTCTATTGCGCAGGCCCGATATTTTCTCCCATGAGAATTTGTTGCGCCCTTGCAAACAAATGTTATTTTTTGGTCCCCACGGTCCCCACGACTACTTCAAAATTCTGTGTGTGGCTGCTTCATATATGCCTTTCCATGAATTTCAAGGGGATGATACCATGGAGTTGCGACATTCATCCTTCGTGTTCAATCGATGGGGGTTTCCTACCATGAGTCCGACACCACACGCCGGCCACGGGAGCGCATCGGCTTCGAGGGCGAAGCCTTCTGAACCGGAGGATAATGGTGTAGAATATTATCATTATTATTATTATTATTATTATTATTATTATTATTATTATTATTATTATTATTATTATTATAATTATTATTATTATTTATTATTATTATTACGGAATCAAAATGATTACAAGAAATTGGAGGGGAGCCGAGATACTATCTGGGCCCCCACTCCTTTTGCAATGGAAAAGCTAATACGAGTGAAAATATGAGGAGCGGCACGTGCCCCTGCATCCTGAGATACAGAATACTTCTGTATCCTCTTGAGTAGGCCAATGGCCTCCGTGTGCAACTCCCCTAAAGAAGAGAAAGAGAATGGAAGAAATCCATAGCCCTTAGTTGCACACAAGGCGTCATATTTCGCACGTTTGCGCTGAGCGGCATCAACCACAACACGTCCCGGAACGAAGTCAGACATCCCGAATTGGGTCAAGGGCGAGGAACCAGTCAAATCAACGCAAACGTCAAGCCCCCTATCCCATGAGTAAAGTAGTAAGTCAGCAGGGCGAAGTGGTCTATCTTGCGCATCGAGGAGCCCAATATCGACCTCCTTACCAACAGAGATCCCGGAGCCCAAATCAACGCAAACGTCATTATTATTATTATTATTATTATTATTATTATTATTATTATTATTATTATTATTATTATTATTATTATTATTATTAGCATTTAACATTTATTTATATTTAGTGACTTGGTGGACAAGATAAATTTAGGGTTTGGGTGTTTTATTTAAATACATCTCATCTTTGTTATTCGGTGGTGAATTGAAAATAAGAATTTATTGAGTTTTGTGAGTTTTACGAGAGAGTATTTCGTTTATCTTTCTCACTCGTACGCTTTCCCTGAATCACACTATCAATCATATTTTTTACATTTTCTCCTCCAACAACTTTACACTCACTACCCAAATAATCTTGGACCCACAACTACCCCACCCCTATCACTATCCCACTTTTACTAAATTAATAAGGAGAAATGCTATAGGTACAAATATTGTACATAGGGGTGTGCATAACACTCACATTGAGTGAAACCGACCAAAAATAAAAAATCAAGTGAACCTCACTCCATGTGAGTGTTATGTATATCTCTATGTACATTTATTATATACTTATAGCATTTTTCATTAATAAATACAAAATAGTATGAAAACAAAAATAATAATAAAAAAAAAAGTGGCTGACAATTGTAGTCAAATTGGACAAAGCGCCCCATTTTTTACCGTTGAAGGCGGAAGAAACGTTGTAAAATTTTACACCTTCTCCACCAATAAAGCAAAGCGTAATTCTAACATCGCAATTCAAAATTCAACTTTAACCAAATGTTGAATACCTACTATATATTTACAAAAAGAAAGATCACCAGCACCACACCCAACCTTCCCCGTATCTCTCCATCCCTCACCTTTGGAGCAGTTGAAGAAAATCACCCAAACAACACATTATACAAACCGAAATAACAAGAAAACGTTGACACCGAATTCCAAAAATTCCCTTCTCAAAAGCGACATAACAGTAAAAACAATGTATCAAACCGAAAAAAAACACACCATCAACACCTGTTAGCAATTTCTTCATCATCATCAATAAAAAAGTATAGACAACTGTTAGCATTTTATTCATCATTATCATCATCACAAAAAACTATCAACACCTGTTAGCATCATCATCATCACCATCATCATCATCACAAATCTGATTGAAAAATGGGTCCTTGAGGAGTTCGGCAGCTGATGGCCTGGCCCTTGGCTGAGCAAGACACTTCTCAATAAATGCTTTGGTCTCGAGATCCTTGACCTTGTTCATGGCCTGAGGCCTCACCCCAGATGTCACTTTCTTGTATATCTTGACCACATTCTCACACTCGCTGTACGGAAGCTCGAGAGTCACCATCTCGAGCAAGCACATGCCAAAAGAGTATATATCTATCATCTCCGTGTAGTTCTCGTCATACAGCTCGGGCGCCATGAATTCCGGTGTTCCAAGAACCGAATGGGCCGAGTGGTTTTTCCCAACTATTGCCGCCAAGCCGAAATCGCCAATTTTTACCTGCACAAATTTATGAAAAGGACTAATTTTCGAAATTACGACCAAAAAATTATTAGAGTTGTAAATGGCATAACAAAACTCGATTATCTACGAAAAGCACCAGCTATGCCACACAATAATTTCAAATACTCCTTTCTAATTCTATTTGACTAATTGGATGCACCCTCACCAGGAGATTATCAAGAAAATATATAGGTCAAACTGAGTGTATGTACTGTAATTCTAAAAGATAATTGTGTATTTTCCACTTTTCCCCATAACCAGTTCAAACTTTAAGAGTAGACTTTTCTTCAATTTTTCCAACAACTCCAAACACACATTGCCCAAAATATAGTGATCCTTTCATAACTCTACACACACATTGATCAAAGCTGTTTAATTGCTTTTTACCTGACCAACGTTTCCATTGATGAAGATGTTGCTACAGTTGAGGTCCCTATGAATCACACACGGCTCATGCCTGTGCAAATAATCCAGGCCTTTCAGAATCTGCCTGGACCACTTCTTGAGGGCCTTCATCGAGACGTGCTTGTGCTTCTTTCGGTACTCCCTCAGGTTACCCGAGGTACAAACCTCAGTTATGAAATTCAGCGTGTTCTTCTCTTTATCCCGCCAGACAGAGTACAAGGCTATTATATTCTTGTTCCTCAGGTTTCGGAGCAGGCGGACCTCGGAAAACAGCCGGTTGATCATGGTCTCGTCATCCGAAAAGTTTCGCAATTTGACTTGGTTCCAGGCGACCTCAATCCCTTCTTCCTGGTCGAAGGCTCTATATACTTTCTTCACAGCCCCCGAGCCAAGGAGCTCGCTGTACCGACCATATCGGCCGGTGGGGTCCACTTCCTCAAACGACTCCTTGTTCGGATCCTCCTCTAAGTTGGAACTCATGCCAGGCATCTACAACGACAGATCGAAAAGAGAATAATTACGATGAACTTGAGTTGAATCATTAGTAAATTATGAATTTCAAACGATTTCTACTGCTAAACCCTGTCAATTGAATACTTTAAACCTATTACTGCTCTTTCCAAGACGCTCACATACGCCATTAACAGAAAATAGAAAATTGGAACTTAGTAAACCATATCAGATCCCCGAATGCATGAACTGTACAATAATTTGCAAGATTTAATCTTTCGAACAAACTGAGAGAAAAGTATGCAATTTCTCATCTCCATCACTACAAGACAGTTCGTAAATTCGTGAAAAATCACCATTCTCCCCCAACCATGGATTGACGAAATTCCAATAATACAGAAAAATCATGAATATTTACCATTAATCGACAATTTTCTCGCGGATGGACGAACAAAAACGCGCTTCCCTGTGTTTCTACTTTCTCAGGGTTTGGTTTGCTGCAGCAACAGTTGAAGACGAAGCAAAAAAGGAGAGAGTAAAACACGAAAGGGCAGAGGCTCTGAGAACAGGAATTTATAATAGTGAGGTTTTTGTATTCGACTGTGGTCAGGTGATATTAGACCGTCATAGACTATATAATTCTAGGAAAACCTAACGCAAGCTAGGTTTTAACCCGATTTTATTATGTACTTGTTGTATTTTTCATTAAAAATATAGTGATCGAATTATATTATATTTCTATAATTTGTTGATTCATTATTAAATGATAAATCAAATAGGGGTACTTTGTTTACAAAATATATTACTCACCATCTAATTTATACTTAAAATTTAATTCAATTTTAACTTAATTATATTATCTTTATATTATTCATATAATTAAATACTGCAAATTAATCGTTACTTTAATTCACTTTTCATTCACTCGTATAATTTTACTTAACTATAATTTCGCATCATCTATATCATACTTTTACATTAAATCAATTTAATTATTTTATTTTAAATATTATTTTAATATAAACTCAAAATTCTCACTCATAATTAAACATAACACATTTTTCAGTGTTAACTCAGATTAATCAAATAACTTATTTCGAACGGATTAATTTGTAACAAACACGTCTCCTATTATATGGAAATTAACAACGATATTAACGAAGAAGTGTTAAGAAAGCTGTAAGTGAGCTAGATTTTTGTTAATCTCAAGTCGGGTTTTTGGATACAAGAGGTCGGTTTCCGTGGAACCGAGTTTATAAATGATGGAATTTAATGTGTCGGAAAAATATCTTCGTGTTGGAATAAATGTGGCTATTTATAGTAATCATGTGCTCGTCTTTTGAGACTTATTCGACGACATATAATGTGAGTTGACTGCATAGGGTTTAGGCCTGGGGGCTGGCACCGGTCCGATTCTTGAAATATTTTTCAGGAACCGGAACCGAGACATAATAACATGTTCGGTTAACATATAAACGGTTTGTAGGAACCGAAAAAAGAACCGAACCCTGTTATAACGGTTTGGTTTTTTTGGTTCTTCGGGTAACCGAATAATAAAAAATAACCGATAATTAACCGGTTTTGAGCTAAGTACCGATCAAAAAATTACAACTCACATGCTTAAACTATCATGAAAAACCGAGAAACTGAAATGCAAAAATGAAGAACCGAATATTACATACCAAGAACTGAAACCGATTCACAGTTTCACATATATAGTCGGTTCCTCGGTTAATACACATAAATTTGGACTGAAACCCGGAACCCAACCGTTTCGTACAAAAAACAGGAAACTGAAAAATATTTTTTTAAAAAAAAAAATAGCCGAATCGGTCATTTACGGTTCGGTCCGGTTCGATTCTCCAATTCTCGAGTATAAAATCCTACCCCTAATATGATTGGCTACTCTGTAAATGGACCCATGTGTAATGATAAGGGCAAGTGCGAAAGACGACAGACTGACAGACATCTAATGTAATATCCCGACTTTTTATCAGTATAAATTATGTTTTTAGTTCCGATATTATTTTTTCGGAATTAATTATATTCAGTTATTTCAGTCGGAATTACCGAAAAATATTTTCCACGTACCGTTTACGTTCGGAATAATTTTGGTAATTAACCATTGTGTTTAATTGAATAATTAAACATAATTGAGGGATTAAGTATTAATTAATCCAAGCTTAATGTTAATTGCCGTGCATGGAGGTCTTCCAAGCCATGCATTGCCGTAGGATTTAGTGTGTAGCATGTTAGTAGTATTGTGGTCAAGATTCCCTCCATTCATGCTTAAAATCCGTGCAACTCATTGTATTTTGTGCATGTTGGAGTTTTGTTCAAGAGATGCTTTCCTCATTGTCCTCTAGTGCCATGGGAATTAGTGTTGTATTTTAGTGCATTTTGTCCATATTTCCTTCTCCTTACTCCAAAATGCCGCGCACATGTAGGGAGCATTTGTTCAAGCATTTCATCCCCTTTTTGCTAGCATATTCACGTGAGTTTGAGGCAAGTAGCATGCATGTCATTTGGATTTTAGTGTGTTGTGTCC